GATAAACATAAATAAACAGAATTAACACCTTTATGTTATTGCTTCGAAAACGATGATGTCCTACTGATTTTATGGCCATCATACTCATACTTATATTTCTTAGTTTTAAGAAGACGTGCACATTTAACCAATTAATTGTATGGTGTGTTATATAACTTTGGATATCAAAATAAAGGTAAATACAGAAAAGCGCTTTGGACGCATCAAAATCATTAAAGAAGTGATATTGTCAATGTTAGACATGAATCCCAAAGTTTTTCATTTGGAAAAGTTTTTTTTCTAATTTCATTTTACATTTTAGCAGATATAATAAGTACAAGTTGATCCGAAAGACTGTATCATGACTTAACAATTGCAGAGATTGTTTAAACACTCATTTTTTTTAGTTAGGCTAAATTCCTTTATAGAAGTTAAGCGGAACTTAACCTTTTTTCGCTTATATTTCAATATCTCAACATCTCGGGTAACTTTTCCCGTTTGTGCATCATGATAGTACCACCGTGTCCTATAATTATTTTCTTGACTTAAAACACTCAGTATGTCCACATTCTATGACAACTACTAGCTCGTAGTCTTTATTCAATACCGTTTCAATTCAACTCTTTTTCTAACCTTCAGCGCACCCATCGCACATTCTTTGAAAGATCATGTTAAGCGTTTAGTGATGCTATTGATTTATTCAGTCGGTTGTCCATTGAATTAATACAAGCTTCCCATGAAGGGTTGAGACATAAAAAAGAATGAACAATTTTAGTGTGAATGCGCCTTGAAATACAAATGAGATTTTTTTTAAATTCTACTGCAAAGTTTTCGGCATCTTAAGGTGCAAAAGATTAATTTTATATCATGCGCGGATATGATTGACGGTTTTGCTTGGCGTCGAGTGACAAATAGTTCATGCATATTCGGAACGAGAACAAATCAGCAATAATTCAATAAGCATGATAAGAGGAACGACTAGGAAGAATACGATGAAGAACAGAAATTTCGAATGCAACTCGAAAATGAATTTTTTGCCATCAAACCCATGGAAGAGTTGTTGCAAGGGTATATATATATATATATATATGCTAACGTAAAGGAGATGTGGCATCGGACGTGGCTGCGTGTTTATACATTCAGCACAATGAAGCGAATATAAATAAGAAGATGTGGTATGAGTGCCAATGAGACAACTCTATAACCAAGTCAAAATTTGTAAAATAAAAAATTATAGGTCAAAGTACGCCCTTCAACATGGAGCCTTGGCTTACACCGAACAGCAAGCTATAAAGAATACCCATTTACTGCCAGATGGAAGAAGTCCATATATGTTATACTCCATTGCTTGGGATAATTTTTATACTGGATATGATAAATTAACTAGCCACACACTGGCACAAAAGTCTTGTCCATGCAAAATCATGATTTGTAGAATATTTGTCATACAATAATGGAATTTTCCAATGTACTTTAAAGCAATAGCTTTAAACATTAGCTTGGTTAAAAAAAGGGACATGTCGGTGAAAAAGGAACCATAATTATTTCTAATGGGATTGCATATGGTCTCAGTTAAAAATAAAACGTCAACCTAACATAATAATAAAAAAACATTTGGTCAATAAAAAAAAATCAAACATCATGTCAGTTTCACAGTTTCAACATTTTTGTCGAATTAAGAGTTTTTTTAAAATATGATTTGTCCGTTCCTAAAGCAAGACATTTGTTTTTACTATGGCCTCTTAAAAAAAGATGGACTTATAAGTCTACTTAGACTTTAAATTAATAATGAGGAATACGTGTGTGTATCTTTTATTTGACACAGTAGATGTAAACCTCCATGCATGTTACGAGACTTTATGATTTCGGTCGTTGTGTAATCAAGTAACAATCCATTATGCGATTTATTTTAATTAAAACTTTTCAAAATATGTTACAGTTTCGAGTATTTTTTATTTATTTTCATATTCGTTTTAATTAATCATTTTATAATTATGTTTATTTCTAAAGGAATATATAGGATCTCCGTGAACTATAACAAAGTATTAAGTAAACACGGGGTATTTTCCAAATACATGTAGCTAACTTAGCCAAATCAAAAACTCGTCAAAGATAAAACTCTGAAAGATTTCAACTTGAAATGATAAGAAAAGTGTGAGAAATTAATAATATATATACACGGTCAGATTACACGCATCACTCCCTGTGGAGAACAGTCTTAATTAGCTACTTGAATTACACAAATCAATGTTGTTATCCCGGGGTGTGTAGGTTTATGCAGTACATGTAGTTGAAAAAGTAAATTCGTAAATATTTTTGTTAAAAACATATTTTAAACTTTATCATAGTATTGGGAAGTTTATGTGTTTTTCAGGGAAGATATTATTGTTAGTAAGCTTATGGTTATGGAAAAATTATGGAATAATAATTACTAGTATTGAAATTTTAATAATTAAAAAAAATCATGTCATTTGTTGTGTTAAAAATATAGCTGGTGCAACCAAAGAACCTAATCCAATTGATGTTTTATATGGTCACGATATATGGAATAACGATGAAGATTCTTCTTTTATGTCATAAATCCGAAGGATTTTAATTTCCACATGCATCCGCTACAATAACACCAGTCTAAGCTAATAATAATACGTGTGTATTTTGTCAAAGATTTTCTTTGAAGCTTTTAGCAAATTTATTTTTGTCATAATAATGAAAAATATATTAAGATTGTTAATTGTTGGAAGTTCACTTTTCAACATAATGATTCCATTGTATACTTCATCCTCTCTCATGATTGAAAAGTGGAAAACACAAAAAAAAAAACAAAAACATATACCTTGTGTATTGCAAGTATTGCTACTTTAATGTAGAGTAAACATGTATACATTCGCAATTATATTGTTTATCAAAGTCTTAAAGGATATAATCATACCGATTCATAAAAGTATAAGTGTTTGCCGATGACTTCGTAACCAAGCGTGTAAAATTCTCTATTCCATGACAAATTAAAGAATTTTCAATTTTCAATTTTCAACCATAAAAAGACGGGAGAATTACAAAAGTTAATTTTTAGGCAAAAATATCATTTTATTTCCCTGTCTTTGGAGATTATAAAAATATCGACGACAAAATAAGAAAATAACGAATACTATTTGTTATTGAAACAAATAGATGTCAGGGGTTCGCAAAACAATGCCTTCTCTGTATACATTAAACGGGCTACTTCGCTATTTATATGGTAGCAAATTTTAAATCAAAAGTGACGGATGTTTAAAATATCTTATTTTCATAAAATTTACATCATTACACAGTTTAAACCTTTAATAAACTTTATTTAACGGCGCGCAGAAGATATTCAAAAGTTAATATAAAGTAATACGGGTATAAAAACTATTTGCCCATTCAAATCTATAGTAAAATTAATCGCCGTCTGTGGACAATTACTAGCGCATGCGCATTAAAGACCGAACGAATTCTTGTACATGGTATTTTTGTAATGTTTTTACACAGAGACACAAAGAGAGAAAGAGAGAGAGAGAGGTTAACAGTTGTCTCATTGGCAATCATACCACATCTCATTATTTCTATACAGTTCTCAAAACGTCAGAACCAGTCCCTAAAAACGTAAAACGGGTTGTAGTCTTCCTAGAACGTAAAGATTTGTCCGGATAATGTCTATATTGCAACCCTAGTCAGTTCTTTAACAGTTCTCGATACGCTCATCTCGTCTTTATCCCGTCTACAGTATGTTTATATCAAAGTCAAAACGGGCAAAATTACACGTTTACCTCATGGAGATACCGTTTCCAAGCCGGTCGGTAGTCCGTTTAAACCGGTTTGCAAATAGTTATACTTCGTTCCTTATACGTCAAAATCCGTTCCAACTAGTTCCTGACCCGATAACCTCGTTCACATCTATAGTTTAACTTGTTCTGACCACGTCCTCATCTCGCCCATGCATCTAGTGCGTTAAGAACGTAATAGTCATCACGTCCTGGCCTGACGGTTAAAAAAACAGCAAGTTTCTGTCAGTCCTCATTCTCGTTCGCTGCTTTTTATATATTTTTCAGCTGTGCTGGTGTGTGTTTTTTAAATCATGATACTGCAAATGGTGACATGCTTTATATGATTGTCTGATATTCCGTTTGATACATATGATGGATGATATGTTAAAATTCGTCTATTGTTATAAATTGAAGTATAGTATGAAAATAAACATGTTAATATAAAATATATTTTATTTCCCCTGAAAAAAACTAGAACTGTGATCACGCTCACGGGAGATACTCCTAGTCCCCCAGAGCAGCAAGGTTATCCATGTTTCTGGGCATATAAAAAAACCCATGTGATGAACCAGTGAGAAGTCAGCCTCATACACCGAAGCTTGTCTGATTGTATAGTACGTTCTAAGAACTGCACAAGAACGCAATAAACGTACACAAAACGAGGAAAGCGTAGGCCCACTGCAAATGTTTTGAACTGAGTAGAAACGTGTTGCTAACTTGTTCAGAACTTGCTATTTTGTTTTGATATTCTTGATTTGCCACTCCGTCTAATTGCAAGACGGGATCATGCCGGATGGTCGCCCAAAAGTTTTCAGCAGGCTTAAAAGTTTTGGAGCAGCATTGCCGATCAAACCCGTCCAAGAAGTTCGTAAACAGACCGTAAAAAGTTGCTACTACGCCCACTTCGTGTGCACACAGTTTACAGAACGTAATGAGAACAAGTTTGGTGTGTATGGGCATTATGCATAATTTTCCCTTTTCCCTATTACCGAATTTTTAAGTTAATCATAAAAGTAGAACTTGAAATATAATTTAAGAAAGAGGGAATTTTTAAGTTCTGTCGAGGTTTGCGAATATCTCAGTTATGTAAAGCCCACTTGCGTGATATCAAAAATGATATGTAAAATAATGAATATTAACAGTGCTCTTTTTTTAAATTTAAAATATCAGCTGGTTATCGAGACTTTAAATACTGAATCATGTGAATGTTTACGTGAAAATACTGATAAATTTAAAACTTTCAAGTTGATACATGTTTGACCATGTTGTGACTAACATGACTAATAAATACAGGTGTGTTTTCTTCAATGAACTTTGACCTAGATGAATTGGATATCAAAAATGTTGCAATCGTTGCTGTCATATTTCCGATTCAAAGTAAGTATATATAATACATTCATTCCTATACTAGTATCATTTTTTTTTAAAGAATTTGCAATGTCATCATATAACAAAAGTTAAGCATTAATTAATAATTCTATTTCAAGATTATTTGGCCCAAATACTGTTTGAATTAAGGAAATAAAGTCCACCTTTTCTGAAATATTATTTTTCTTCTGCAATGAAAGAATTAGTAATTTCCACAAATATACACCATACAGTAAACAAAGTAATGTAATGGTGACAATGATGTGTTACACTGTAAGAACCAAGCCAACAGGACTGACGCACAATGCTAGTATCCCATCATGTTGTATGTTTTATATGTGCATGATGCTTTGTTTTTTTTTTTTTTTTTGTATAGGTTTTTTATATTCGGCAAAAAGCTCACCAGAACTTATGTTTGTATGTTTTATGCTATGCCGAATCAAAATAAAGTTTTCTATTTTTTATATATTTGCCTTAAGCTTTATCTAGATAACGTCTGTTGAAGTTCTATTACATGTGGTTTCCAATATAACTAAGATTGGTCCATTGAAGCAATAACATTTATAGATTTCTTTCAAACCCAAGAGAAAATGCCTTTTCAATGTATTTTGTCTTTGTAGTGTTTTTGGCTTTTGCAGTTAAGATTGATAAAGTAAAGGGGCATAATCAATCATCAATGAAAGTGGTATAGTGAATTAATAATTCGCTTTAAGCAGCCAATTTGGTTCAATGTTGTCAAAATAAGCTAAGAAACATTGCTGATGAATTATTCTCTTGCAAGTGAATAATTCGACCTCATTGAATCCGTATTCATGTGGCCTTCAATTTAACCCCTTAGCTGGAGATGGGTTACGCATGTATTTAGCTACTTAAAGGAAAATAATGTTAACATTTGGTTGACTGGTTCGATCCACAAACAAAAATTATTTTTATACGGGTAAAACGACGATAAACATACTTTTTAACCTTCAATTTGAAATCAAACAGACCTAGATCGACCTAGAAAAATCCAATTGCACGTGGACGCTATCTGTTTATATATATCGGGTTATATGACCGTCGGCAGTCTTCGGAGGTCATCTCGATGGTTAATTAGATGACGTCTAGACAAAAATACACACGACATGTTGATACATATTATCGAGTACACGCATTAATAATTGTTATTTTAGACTTTTTGTAATTTTGATATACGTTTTAGTATGTTACAAATCAAATATGAGAAGTTTAGAAAAAATCGATGAACATGATTTTGGCAGCTAATGCCCCCCTTTAATAAGTATCAAAGAGTACATTTATTTGTCCCCTAATTTCATGGTCAAATTTAATATTATAAACATACAAGTTAGCATGGCATTTTCTTGCTTTCTTGGATCGCAAATAATAGTAAATGATATGTGCAGGTTTTTAATCAAAAGAAGCATATTTTGATACCAAAATGCAATTCATTTGTGAGATTTATGTTAGGTGAAGAAAATTATGCGATTTTGTCTGATGATAACAACTGTTTAAAAACAGTTGTAAAACTTTGTTTGAGGAAGTCAGATAATTTAATTTTATAAAGGAATATTCAGTAATTTTTTCTGTTTTCTTAAAATCATGTGACCCACCATGACAAAAGCGAGCGAACTAAACTAAACCATAAACTTAAACAAAAGAAGGGACATTCTGTATATTTTACCATTTGAAATCTCTGATTCAAAATTTTTGACTTGAAATTTTTGTAAAGTACTTTTTTCTTCAGTTTGCTTTCCATTGCTGCATTGTACATCACATTTTCTGACGAATATTTTATATGCAAATATTCTTATGATCAATTCAACCGCACCATTTATATTTATTCAATATAAAATGTATGCGAGTCAGAGGAACATCCAATAATAAGAATACAACGGTTATACACATTCCATATAGTCTTACGGTTTGTAAAGGTTGCCAGTAATGTATTTGAAAACGATTAACTTTTTTGTCAAGAAGTTTATTTTATTAAAATGCTTTTTGACTATCTTTTCTTCGATACAGGTTTTCCTTTTGTTTTAATTTCTATTTCTTTAAATGACAAATTTTTAGCTATTTCATACCCCCGCCCTCCCATCAAATATGATTTTCAACGCTTTTGACTATAGCTATAAATGTGTCAGGAACTGCAAGATATTAAAGCTTCTATAAGAACACAAACGTCTTGAAAAGGATCAGTCTGATCATTCAAATAAAGAATATGCATTTATTTATATTAGGGCAAAGATCTCTGATTCTGGACAGTCAGTTGATATAAAGTGATTGACGTGAATATATATGATATACATTTAGGAGTTCAAATCCTCAAAATATCCATATTAAAGTACAACAGAAAAGAACAGACACAATATTTATTTATCCTAGAAGTCCAAAGAAGTCGTAAGATAGGTTTGCATGGTTGATTCAAACTATATTAGTAATTTACTTTCAGTTGCGGATTAAGGATTTTGAAAAGGGTGTGGGTACCAAGGCAACGTTAGGAGTGGCACTTAAAACTAGATGCTCCAAGGAGCCTGTGTCGCTCACCTGATATTTTTGTTTACAATTGATGCATGAAATAATGCAACTGTTATACTTTTGCTTTAGTTTCAGAGATATAAGTCAAAAACTGCATTTTACCCCTATGTACTATTTTTAGCCATGGCGACCATCTTGGTTGGCAAGCGGGGTCATCGGACACATTTTTTAAACAAGATACCCTAATGATGATTTCGGCCAAGTTTGGTTAAATTTGTCTCAGTAGTTTCAAAGGAGAAGATTTGTGTAAAACATTACAAAAATTGTTAAAAAATTGACTTTAGAGGGCAACAACTCCTTAAGGGGTCAATTGACAATTTTGGTCATGTTGACTTATTTGTAGATCTTACTTTGCTATCATTATTGCTGTTTACAGTTTATCTCTATCTATAATAATATTCAGGAAATAACCAAAAACTGCAAAATTTCCTTAAAATTGCCAATTCAGGGGCAGCAACCCAACAAAAGGTATTCTGATTCGTCTGAAAATTTCAGGGCAGATAGATCTTAATCTGATGAACATTTTTACCCATTGTCAGATTTGCTCTAAATGCTTTAGTTTCAGAGATATAAGCCAAAAACTGCATTTTACCCCTATGTTGTATTTTTAGCCATTGCGGCCATCTTCGTTGGCAGGCGGGGTCATCGGACACATTTTTTAAACTAGATACCCTAATGATGATTGTGGCCTAGTTTGGTTAAATTTGTCTCAGTAGTTTCAGAGGAGAAGATTTTTGTAAAAGATTACAAAAATTTACGAAATATTGTTAAAAATTGACTTTAAAGGGCAATAACTCCTTAAGGGGTCAATTGACAATTTTGGTCGTGTTGACTTATTAGTAGATCTTACTTTGCTGAACATTATTGCTGCTTACAGTTTATATCTATCTATAATAATATTCAAGATAATAACCAAAAACTGCGAAATTTTCTAAAAATTTCCAATTCAAGGGCAGCAACCCAACAATGGGTTGTCTGATTTGTCTGAAATTTTCAGGACAGATAGATCTTGACCTGATGAACAATTTTACCCCCATGTCAGATTTGCTCTAAATGCTTTGGTTTCAGAGATATAAGCCAAAATCTACATTTTACCCCTATGTTCTTTTTTTAGCCATGGCGACCATCTTGGTTGGTGGGCCGGGTCATCGGACACATTTTTTAAACTATATACCCCAATTATGATTGTGGCCACGTTTGGCTAACTTAATTTGGCTCAGTAGTTTCAGAGGATATAATTTTTGTAAAAGTTAACGGACGACGACGGACGACGGACGCCAAGTGATGAGAAAAGCTCACTTGAAAAGGGCCAGGTGAGCTAAAAAGGCTATGTATTTACGATATATGTATCTCCAGCCCAGCCGTTCACCGGTGCACCCTCCCCCTCCCCCTTTTCCCCACAAAAGGGGGAAGAAAAGAAATACATTTAAAAATATGCCTCTGACTTTTTAAGTTGAAGCCCGGTAAAAATAATATGTAAATTGAAAGTAAATCAATCGTTTGCAAATGGTCCCTTCAATTTCCTCTAGATTTAATTAAATGGTGTTTAATTGTTATATCGAAGCATTTGTGAAGATAAGGTATGATACTTTATCTTGGCTTCTTTTTTTGGTGACAATTACATAATTTCGGAAAATTTTTACTTTATAGTTGGAAATGAAAATATTTGAACCTGCATAAATGATTAAAAAAAATAAAATGCTCTGCTCTATGGATTTTCATCAATAGAATCTAAAATATATCATTATAATCATAGATGTGTAGGTTTATACATCCATGTTATAATGAACCGTGTCTATAATTATGAGATGTCATTTTGTAAACTACTTATAAATGTTTACGCTTCACATGCGTTGTAGAGAGATGCATCATGAATCAAGTTAAAGGACAAATAAAAGAAAAATTATATCAGCTAGTGTGTAAAGTCGTCATCAAATACGTTTATTCAAGAAGACTCATTCTATTCTTATTACAACAAATATGTCATAATAACAGTATGTACTGATATATATGAAAAAACAGTATTAGACAAAGTACCCCATACGACTGGAAATCCCATGGCTATAGTCACCAATGCAGAAAAAAAAAATAATGTGACCTAATTTTTGCTTTTTATCTTCTGAAACGCATTTTATACAAGCTTTCTTCTTATTTTTTATTTGTTTTTTTCTTTTTATTCACATAATAATGCCTTTTCTCTGTAGCATACTGATTAAAGGTGTCAATTTTTTACAATAATCTTGGTGACCTATAATTTTTTGTAGTAGAATATTATCTACATTTTTGTCAAGGTATGCAAAAATGTATTTTTTTTGTGGTAATCCCAATTTTAACTTAAACTCATAATTCTCCAAAATAGTCTTAATTATTTACTCTCGATGGACTCATCGTGCTGTATCCTTATATGATTCAATTTTGGATGTAACACGTCTTCTGATTGGCCGAAAGTTTTTTGTCTATCAGCTCATAGACATAATTTTGTCATGTAACCGCAACGTCATCAACGTTTTTTTCATGATTTACTCCTTAAAAATGGAATTAAGAATTAAATTATACGGGATGATAGAATTAAATTATAAGGATGACTGAAATATTTTTTCTGTTTATTCGAAATAACCTAAAAAATGTGGTGCACACTTTTGAATAACCCGCTACGACGGTTATTCAGTGTGCACCACATTTTTTATGTTATTTCTTCATAGACAGAAAAAATATTACAGTCATTCCTTAAATAAATGAAAACAGTGGACTAAATCCTGAATAACAAGTGTCCGTAAGAACATAAAAAGAACGAGAAGCCTTGGATCCAGGCTCTCTTTTCAGCTCAACATAGAAAAAGTTGGGCCAGGATGCCTGCCTGCAAGTTGACTAATAAATCAAACTTCTAAGTTATGAAACAGATTGCATGGTCAGGAAATGGACAAACATTTTGTATTGCTACCAAAAAAGTAAAAATGAATGTATACTTGATAGTTTTTTAAAATGATATTAAAAATAATTTGATATTATGGTTTGTTTCATCTGGGACTAATACCTGGATTCTATATCTATTAGTCCCAGGTTTTATTAAGGATGTTCGCTCCTCTTGTTTTTGAATTTCAGCAAGATGATCGGAATCCTCGGGCTTTATCCATGTAGTGCCATTAACAAAATTTCCCCACTAACCCCTACTTTTCTTTTCATAATTTTATAACATATAGTTTAAAAAAGCCATATTTGAAAATCCAATAAAATCCTTGTTATTTTTTCATAATTTTTGAAAGAAAAGGGGGTGCCAATGTTAGATATATGAAAAGTCTAGAGATAATTATTTCCCGCCAAATTTTTAATGGCTTATATCTCCAAAACAAGCATACGGACCCTTCAGTTTTTTCTGCTATTTTAGTTCCTTTATTTTTATACTACCAATTTATAACAGTCTTTTAAAAAGCTTGTTATTTTGAAACAGAGTAGCAAACATCCTTAATAACAATTGTTATTTTTTTTTTTTTTATTAATAATAATTGTTCTTATTTTGTATTATTAATAACAATTGTTCAATCAAATATATTACCAAACAAGATTTGTTTAATGCTTGGTCTATTATACTAACTATTAGTATAATAGACCCAGTTTAATGTATTCACATGTTGGGACGATTAAGAGCTATACCATTTGTATAGACACCTGCCTATTGTTGAATACTGTATGTTTCCCTCTAGATGTACTTTTATTTACTTTCGTCAGTGTAGTGTGTTTGATTGTCGTTTATCCAACATATGCTTTTATTCATGAGATACTTGGCATCTGAACTGTTTAAAATCACTGATTCTTTACCTCTAAGATCTATTTACATATAACAAAGGATTTTTATTATTTTTTTCAGAGTGAGGAAATAGATTGTTGCAAATCTTTTTGTGGAATCTGTGATCTCCGCAATCTTTCAAAACCATCAGTGGTCTGGTGTTCAGAATGTGATGAACATCTATGTGAATCTTGTATGGATCATCACACATTTTCTTAAGCAACAAAAGACCACAACACATTAACAAATGTGGAATACAACAGTTTACCTCCCTTTGTTAAAACTATCAAACCATTTTGTAAGGAACATGAGGATAAATACAACATGTACTGTCACCGTCATGAAAGTCCTTGTTGTAGGGAATGTTTACTGAATGGTCATCGTAACTGTACGGACATTCGTCCATTGGAACATATGGTTCAAAATGTCAAATCGTCCAGTGCATTTGAAGACCTCGAAAAAATGTTGAAAGAAATGATGAAGAATATAAAGTATATTCAGGAAAACAGACTAAGGTACTTGTTTTCAATACAGAGGTCAAAAGTAGGGATTGAAAATGAAATTCAGCTAATTCGATTTCAAATAAACAACCATCTAGATCAGAATAAGCTTATAATGCAGCTAAATACAGAGGAAAACAAGGTTGTGAATCAGATAGAAACTTTAACAGGGTCACTGAAGGAAAAAGAAAAAGAAATTAATAAACTTTTGACAAATTTTCATCATATAAAAACATGTGCATCAGAACTTCAAGCATTCTTAAGTATGAAACAAATAGAAAAGACAGTTGTTCCTTATAAACAATATATCCAGAGTTTGTTCGGAGATAAAACCCTTGAACAAACTAACATATCCTGCAGTATTGACAACAAAATTAAAAACATAAGCACAAGAATACAAAATTTTGGGAAAATTAACATTAGTAGACAGGAATGTGACATTTCACTGGCGAACATAAGGGAAAGACAAGCACAAATTATGGTTGATGTGTCTTTTGACAACTTAACTCTAAAGTTAATACAGAAAATAAATAATTATGGTAGCCAGGTGACTGGATGTATACGTACTATATTAATTACCTAGTGGAAAGAAGCTGTTTTGTAATTATTCACCAGCTCGTCTCATATTGGTCAATAAGGATGGATCAATTGAACTTACAATTTCTCTTGAGACAATGATACAGTAGCTGTGACATCACCGATAGATTCTTGTATTACAATAGTTGACCTTTGTAGACAGGATGCCATAAGAACCTTCAAAACACATGTCAGTTGCTTTGGAATAACATTAAATAATGGGCAATTAATATTCTGTGCTTTAAATAAGGGATTGCAAAAGTTAGACTTACAAAATGACAATAAAATAACAAATCTAGTGAAATTTAAATGTTCTGATGACTCCTATGTTGCATCATGGCATGATCAATTGTACTTCACAGATACCAAAAGGAAAGCTGTACTTTGTTTTAATACAGCAGGAGAATTTAAGTGGAAATTTGAAATAGAGGAAATAATTCCAGGAGGAATATCCATCAATTGTCATGGCAATGTTATTGTTGCTTGTAGGAACACTGCAAGTGTTATCTTGATCTCTCCTAGTCAAGCAAGATTTAAATCAGTTCTGGACTGGGATGACATTCTAGATTATGATAAACAAACAAAATGTTTTCTCATTTCTTGCATAAGTGGATCAGCCTTTTTGTTTATTGTAGAAAAAGAATAAATGTTCATAGCAGAGTCTTTACAGTGTTCTTGCTTTTTCACGTATGTTTAACCTCACACAAAGTTAACCTAATCCATTTTTATACGACCGCAAAAAAATTTTGGGGTCGTATATTGCTATCACGTCGTCGTCGTCGTCGTCGTTGTCGTCGTCGTTGTCGTCCGAAGACATTTGGTTTCCGGACAATAACTTTAGTTTAAGTGTATGGATCTCTATGAAATTTAAGCAAAAGGTTCAATACCACAAAAGGAAGGTTGGGATTGTTTTTGGGGGTGGTGGTCCCCACCGTTTAACAACCAGAGGCCAAAAAGGGGCCCAAAACAAGCATGTTCCTAGTTTCAGGACAATAACTTGTGTATAAGTATTTTGATTGCTCTGAAATTGTACCACAAGGTTCAATACCACAAGTAGAAGGTAAGGATTCATTTTGGGGTTAATTGCCCAAACAATTCAGGAATTAGGAAAAAGTGCCTAAAACAAGCATTTTTCTATTCAGACAATAACTTGTGTTTAAGTGTATGGATGTCTCTTAAATTATACCACATTTTACAAAAAGAAAATTTCTTTAAATGTTATTTTTTGTTGGAATGGGGGGGGGGGGGGGGGGGGGGGGGGGGGTAATAAAATGGTTTTTTTTTGGGGGGGGTGTAATTTTTTTTCCCTCAAGATTTAAGAAATTGTCAATTTTCCAAAGAAAAATTGGGGGTCAATTTATATTGCTAATTCTTTGTATATAGTCTGAAAACAGATTTACTAAGTATTGCGCAACAGCACAGTGTATTGCACAACAGCAAGAAATCTTAAATTGAATATAAATTCAAATCATATAATCTATAATAATAAGTCTACATTTATTCTGTGTCAGAAACCTATAATGTGTCAAATATTTAATTACAATCCAAATTCAGACCTGTATAAAGCTTGAATATTGTGTCCATTTTTGTCCCAACTGTTCAGGATTTGGACCTCTGCGGTAGTATCCAGCTGCGCTCTGGAAGCAGTTTATTCTGTCATGGTTAGGTCTTATATTTTTATATAGTTTTGAAGCTCCAGAATGTCTTTCTTTAACTTCCTTATCTATAAGTCACCGTCACTGTCTTCAACCTCCCTTATGATGATTCCAACAAAATGTGTAAAGCCTAATGAAAACAGTATCATACATTTACTGTAGACTAAACTTAATTTGAGATTACCCTTTTTTTGCTTTAATAAAATTGAGAATGGAAATGGGGAATGTGTCAAAGAGACAACAACCCTTTCTCAGAAACTTTGCGGTAATTTTTTCTTATAATTTCCTAATTTATTGATGTAATTATACATATTCAGGTATAAAGGGAATTTAAATTTGACATATTTGCTATGATTATATAAATGTATTTTTTTCTACTCGCAAAAATTCACAAACATATATTGATCCCAACAATAAGTTGGTTTACAGTATTTTATACCACATTTAAAATACTATTGAGATAAAAATGAGGAGATGTGGTATAACTGCAGATGAAACAACTATCCACCAGTGACCAAATGACTTGGAAGTAAGCAGGTATAGATCATTGTTACAACCTTCAACTATGAGCAAGATAGATAGATACCTTAAGCTATAAAAGCCCAACATGACTAAATATAAAACAATTTAATCTTGAAAACCAATAGTGTGATTTATGAATAAGCAACAAACGAAAAATACAAATATGACAGACATCAATCAATGACAACTATTGACTTACAGGCTCCTGGGCTCCAGACTTGGGACAGGCACATACAGAACCATCCCCCAACTTGGGACAATAAATTGTTGACACATATATATGTCTCACCTGTATGTAATTTTGATAGTAAAATGCAAATGTTGAAATTAAAATGGCAATACTTTAACATTTTACAACATTTATATGCAAACCATTTAAGGTCAATGAACCATGACAAAAGGTGCAGAGCCAAATAATCTGACCATGGAAATGAGATGTGCCAATGCTAATAAAACTACATACCAAATATCATTGACTTACCATGTGTGGTTCCCCTTAAACTGACCTAATTACAAACTTTTACAAATTTTACACTGCTACCGACACCAGAAAAGGCATGTCTAATTCTTGCCTTTGCGACTTTGGTCGAGGAGAGACAAAAATCAACTTACCAACTAAAAAAAAAGACAACAGACACAAATTCAGATCGGCAAGTAACTATTAGTTACTGGAAGCTAGTTCATAGCCAATACAACTACTAAATAGTTTATTACAAACAATAGTGTTTGTGCGATTCTACTTGCTGCTTATCTGCACAACAGAATGTAGTCAGTTTGCATTTTTAGACATTCTCCTTTTGAGATTGAAAACTTTCAAAAGTGCACAATATAACGTTGTAATTAGATAGGCAAGTTTTTTTAGCAATTGATAATAGGTATTTAATCAATGACAATTTTATTTTTTATTTCTGTGTAAGAATAATGAAATTACACACAACCCTTAAGAATCTGTAATGGCAAAAAAAGGTTATATGGATACACAAATCCAAACTCTAAATCAGTGGTCATCTCCTGGGGCTCTGAAAGGGTAAGCAATTCCTGTTCCACTAGTGGTACCCATCTTGCTTCTCATGACAAGTAAAAATCTGGGGATAATGAACAAGGAAAGTAGGATTGTGCATTTTGTGCCTACATCAAATGGAATACATCTGATCATCTCTGACACCAATATTTCATAGAGGTTTGCCTACATTGTACCAAATGCTTCCTTGATATCACCTTATTGAAGTGATTGACTAATTCATTTAAGTTAATTATTTTACAAGAATATTAATCTATCAAAAGGAAGTGTTTTTACAAATATATATTATGTCTTATTTGCAACAACAGTATATGGGGCAGGTTTCATCACAGTTTGTTGACCTTTAAAATAATTCCAATGTAACAGCAGAGGAGACATACATGTATCTTGCATATAAAAAGAATGTTTGTAATTGGCTACAATTCCTATGAAAATTGTTTGTATTTGTTTTAAAGGGAACACACAAATCTCTTACAGTGGTGAACAATTTGAAAAAAAAAAACTATAGGCACTCAAGAGCCTGAATCGGTCACCTGTAATTTTTTGCTTAAATCTTTCATCAATAATTATTTTTGCTTTTCAATATATATTAATGGGTGGCTTAAAAATGCCATTTAAATGTTCTTTTTATCTGTCATATTTTCTTCAAAAGCAAAAAAATGCATTTTACCCCTATGTTCCATTTTAGCCATAGTGGCTATGTTTCTTGACGTACAAGGAAATAAAATACAAAATTTATACTAGATACTAGATACTCTGAAACTCATTTAGTCCAAGTTTGGCTGAAATTGATTCAGCAGTTTCAAAGGAGAAGATTTTTTAAAGTAAGCAAACTAGATGAACAAATTGTGAAAAATTGTCTTTAATGGACAATAACTCCTTAAGGGGTCAATTGACAATTTTGGTCATATTAACTTACTTGTATATATTACTTTGCTGAACATTTTTGCTGTTTACAGTTAATCTTTATCTATAATAATATTCAAGATAATAACCGAAAACTGCAAAATTTCCTTTAAATCATCAATTCAGGGGCAATAACCTAAAAATCAGATACCCGATTTTGCTGATAATTTCAGGGCAGGTAGACCTTGACCTAATGAATACTTTAAATTTTTTGTCTGATTTGCTCTAAATGCTTTAGTTTTTGAGATACAAGTCAAAAACTGCATTTTATCCTATGTTATATTTTTAGCCATGGCGGTCATGTTTTCTGATGTACAAGGAAATAAAATACAAGTAGTAGATCTTACTTTGCTGAACATTATTGCTGTTTATAGTTTATCTCTATGTATAATAATATTCAAGATAATAACCAAAAACTGCGAAATTTTCTAAAAATTACCAATTCAGGGGCAGCAACCCAACAATGGGTTGTTAGATTCATCTGAAAATTTCAGGGCTGATAGAACTTGACCTAATGAACATTTTTACCCCTGTCAGATTTGCTCTAAGTGCTTTAGTTTTTGAGATATAAGCCAACAACTGCATTTTACCCTATGTTCTATTTTTAGCCATGGCGGCCATGTTTTTTGGCGAAACAGAAAATAAAACACAAACTTTATTTTAGATACCCTAAGGATCATTCAGCTTAAGTTTGGTTGGAATTGGTACAGTAGTTTCAGAAGAGAAGAAGTTTGAAATAGTTTACACCGGACGGACGACGACCTCGGACGCCAAGTGATGGAAAAGCTCACATTTCCTTTGGAAAGGTGAGCTAACTTTTGAAATTAAGAATGTTTAATTTATACAAAACCTGACAATTTTTCACGACCTGTAGCTTAGAATTTTGAAAGAAAAAAATATATATACACTATATTTTATACTTGTAGGAGTCACTGCGCTTAAATGACAATTTTCATCATTTTTTTCATTTTTCTCTTAATTTGAAAACAAGTATAGATGGAGAGAAACTGCACACAGCCAAGATGATCACAAAGACAAGAAATTCGGAAATCAGTAATTGACTCATTATTATAAGTTATAGAAGCCATTGTCATGAAATGATTCACAAATTTTGAATAATATATATTCTCCGAGTGGATATATCTGGATAAACCTTGGTAGTATCTTACTTAATGTTGGAAAGATAGTTGCCACTGCTGCTAACAAATTTAATAGTGTATTTTTTTAGAAAGTTGCGATTGATGCCCCTTGAAGCCTATAGCTCATAGTTCATTAGGTTTCAAATAGAAAAGAGAATGCAAACGGGAATGTGTCAAACAGACAACAACCCGACCAAAGTGCAGAAAACAGTCCAAGGCCACCAATAGGTCTCCAACGCAATCCCGCACCCGTATAATGTAGACTAGTTTCGCGAAATGGACACCCACACTAAACTCTGAAAGATACTAATGAATGGCTAGGGGTTCTTGACTTGGGACAGGCGCAAAAATGCGGCGGTGTTAAACATGTTTTGTGAGGTCTCAACCCTCCCTATATACCTCTACCCAATATTGTATGAGTGGAATGTTTACAACAGAATTTACCATACTTAATGTTTGAGTCCCCCCCCCCCCCTCCCCCTGTTCACACAAAAAAATGATAATAGATTTCTGTTTAACGTCCAGTCGCAAATATTACATGCATATTTGGACAAGAACATGTTAAAGTAATATGAATATGAATAAACCTTCTTGCTTAGCCAGATTTCTAACAGGCTAGTTGACAAACTAAATTTGTGCCTTTCCCAAGTCAGAAGCCTGTAGTTCAGTTGTCGTTTGTTCAGGTATCGTGTAGTTGTTTTTCGTAAACTGTTAGTTTTCTCGTTTGAATGTCTTTTATAGCCTATATATATATCTATATACGGTATGGGTTTTTCTCATTGTTGAAGGCGGTATGTTTGCCTATAATTGCTTACAGCCAATTCATTTGAACTCTGGTGGATTGACCTTGATACCTCTTCTCCTTATTTTTATTTTGACAATCTATGTAAATTCAAAATCGCATCGGTGGTCTCAAGCTCACAATTAGGTTGGGAGGGCAAGGTTTTGATTAATTCCAGATTTGTTTGGTTTTATTTCGGAGAAAAGAGGTGTAAAATATGTTTTGATAACGCTGACGCGGATATGATGTTACGATGAAAAGTTGACCTTCATCTGAAGCCTCATCTAAAGCCGCCTTACATCCACTTCATTTGAACTCTGGTGGATAGTTGTCTCATTGGCAATCATATACCACATCTCGATCCGTATTTTTATCTGACAATCTACGTTAATCCCATAGCATCGGTGGTTTTGTGCATACAATATTTTCGGGAAAAAGGAGATAGTAAATTCAAATTCTCCGATAACTCTGGCACGGATGTAATAGTATGAGTAAAAATTGATACTCACAGTCATAACCTTAAGTAGATCATTTTCGAGAGCAGATGAAACTTTCTAGAGGAGACAAACCAAATAAATCAAAAGGCTTAAGGATTTGTATTTCCTCTGATTTATTTCTTTTTTGTCGTGTAAATATAATTTATACTATTGAAACTAATAACAAAAATTTAAGGACTATTTTCAAAAGTCGTTCTCTTTACGAATATTAAAAGAGTTGCAATGCTTAACATGTACACGTTGTATGAATGAAAGGGGATGTGATTCTCAAGGCAATTCTGAGAGATTTTGATTTTTACCATACTTAATGTTTGAGTTTGATTTTTAAAAAGATGATTTTAATGCAAAAGCTTTCAAGAAAAATCAATTCAAAATATATAGAATATGCAAAACTGTATTCAAGTGTAAAGTATAGCGATGGGTTATTCTTTCGCTTTATGAATACATCTAAAATCTCCTTTGTATATCATTTTGCCTCAGTCTTGTGTTAAAATTTCATTAAAATTTGTCAAATTTCAGATTTTGACCATGCTAATCATGGAAATTGTCCCTCATTCTTTTCATAGAATTGTGGTTTCAACATGTTCAAGAATACTGTAATGCTGTCGCATCATTTTGCTGTTTCAATTTAACATAATACGATATCCGAAGACAACACCCACCAAAAAACTTCATTTCTGCACAAGCGTGTGATCCTATCATTGTTTTATTTTGACTTCACGTTATGTTTCTATAACTTAACATTTTACAGTTTCAAGTCAAGACCAATTTAACTACTTCAAGTCACTATATTATTATTTTATCATAGCATTATAAAATTTGAACGTATCTTTATCATTGCTTACTGAATATCGTACCAAATGGCATAAACATTGAAGTGTTTTGTGTCTTTTTCCTGAAATTTCAACTTTGCATTTAAATGTTTTCAATTATCATCACAATATCTTAATTTACCCTGCCGCACATGGAAGGCAGCATCATATTGCTGCAAGTCATCACAGTTTAATTTAAGCTTAAACCAGATAAAGCACATGGGCTTTGGAAAATTGTATTATTCCCAGCATTTCCTTCGGTAAAGAGCATTTAATGTTCCCAAATAACAATCCTGAGCTTATCTGTTGACACGGCAGCTTACTCTAGGGAAGCTTTACGGCAGAAAATCAGAAAGCTAATTTTACACCAATTTACATCTGTAAATGGCAGTATATAAATTTTATAAGCAAGTACAAAATTTCAGAAAGTTGTCTCTTTCAGACAAGCATTATAGGATGGTCACTTGCAAAAAGGGCAAGTTGTTTAAAAACAAACTTATGTCGAACCCTGCGCAACGCCAAATTTGAGCTTTTGCTTATCTAAAAAGGCAAGATGACCGTCACAGTTGAACACACAGTTTAATATAGAAACCCAATGTGAACGACAAAGAAATAGCTCATCAACATCTGGAGGGGACACAACCAATACATAAACTCGGTGAGGATAAAAATGTCAAACATACTAATACAAATAATTTAACAATTACTATCCACACTGATTTGTGTCCACACTTATTTAAGCTTCAAATTTATATATTTCTTAACTTAACATTAAAAGCTTCTGCATAACGTTTTGTAAATCCCATATATATGACAGCTAAGGCTTTCCATAGTAGATGGCTATCTTAGACATGTCTTGTGAGAATAAAAGGGTATGTTGGGTATACCGCTACGAGACAGCAACTCAACGACACAAAAACTAGATTTACATAAATTTGTCTTCTTGGGATCTGCTCCTTCTCCGTCAAGCTCACGATACTAAGAAAAGACTGACTGGATTGAAGTTTGAATAAAGCGTCCCGAAGGGGGTTGCATGACTTCATGTAGACGACTCATCATGGCGGTCTAGTAAAAACTTACTGCCTCAATGATGTATCAAGAAAGTGGGTTGATAAGTTGCAACATTTATTTCCATTTTGTATGATGTCTCAATTAATTTAAAAGATTTTAGTGCAATAATAATACATTAATATATGTATTACGGTTATTCAGTTTGATTTTATTTGTTTTACTAATAATTGTTAGCAGTACTATATATAGATATATTTACAATACTTCATTCTGTAAAAGGCATTTATGATTAAGATATAGCCATTATCTATATATATGTAAGAGAGCTTTGCGCATGAGAGAGATGGGTTTAACCGGATTATTCAGCACCAAACATGTCATATTGTATGACAATCAATTCCAGTTCCAATTTGCCTATTTCATGTAAAACCCAGAACAAAAACAAATTAACAAGTCTGATAACCTTGAACTTCATGTACACTTGGGTATGTAGCTCTTACCTACAGGTACCTATGTTGACAGCTGCTCCTTTGACATCTTTATGCAGTTTTTAAAAAGTGTCATGTACTCTCGGGTAAACCGCATGATTTTTTCTTGTCAAAGGAATAACGTATCACAAGTTTGAATTTATACATTTTATTAAAAGCCGTGCAGCATATAAATTTTGCCGAATGAGGAGTTTTTATGCGAGCTCTTTTGCTTGCAGGGTTCTCTCAACATGTGCTTTGCAGATCTTTGCAGTTACTAAAAATCTACAATCTGAATGAACGCCACTGCACCTTTAAAGTCAATATTTTTTTTTGTATAACCACAACTTATTTACCCCTCCATGCAAGTTGTTTTATCTAAGGTTTTGTATGTGTAGAGAATCATTGATATTCAACTTACTAGTAATTACCCGACGATACAGCGTTTTTTTACGCTCTGTAGGGAGGGGCGTAAAGGGGGGTATCTGCACGGAAGAACGCGAAATAAAATTGCCATTTCACGATGAACGAACAATTAAAAATTTCTTGCACGTTGATCTTTTCACGAAACACGGTGAATAACGAACCCTTTTCACGGCTGCACGTGAAATAAAAATGGCAAAACACGTTGCACGAAAATAACCCTTTACCACCCTCTGTAGGAACGGGTGAGTTTTAAAGATTACTGGATGTCGTGTGTACCGCTTGTGTGGCAACAGTAACCTGTTGTACACACTGCTGATTGAATTTCGGTTTTAATCATTTAATTTTTTAACAAACAAAATGTGTCGGTGCATTTTCCTAAAAAAGAAGCATTGACAGAGAACGTCCTTAACAACCGATTGGACGTAACTATCTTTAGTATGACGTCCTTGACTTCAATACCCAGCGACTGCGTCCGATGAAGGATGCATAGAGGTAAATATTTATGGAATACTCCAGTGAAATATTATTTAATGATCTCTTTATTCAATATTTAACTAATTTTTAATACCTCTTCTTCAAAATCCTGATTTGATTAATTTGTATGCTGCTTTTTATTCAATCGTACTGAATATGCATGAAGTTTTTGCCACTGGAGGTTAAATTGATCAATGTTGCTTTTCATCTTTCATCTTAAACACATTTCAATATTTATACAGAAGGCATACGAGAAAAAATGTTGGACATCAGAGGGTTTGGTTAAATAAAGATTGAAACAATGACACTTTTCGTAATGTAAAAAACATGAAACTGAACTCAAATCTGTCCTCTTTCTTTATTAATGGTTTTCATTTACAATGGTCAAATAAGAAAATTACACGAATGTTCTCAAATATATTAATTTGATTTAAACAATTTGATAAAACTTTACGTAGAAATTTGGAATAGACTTGTATGAATCAACAAAGATATATTGCCAAAACTTCAACCTAAAAGAGTGGTCGATGCTATTAAATTAAACTGACGTTTACTACATTTGAATTTCAACAGGAATTATAACAACGGGTACACGAGGACAGCCGATGGGTGGCTATCCTCCACCGTTTCAAGGATTTGCGCCACCCGGTACAGGATTTGCTCCTCCCGGAAGTGGCTATCATCCACCAGGACAAGGATTTGCGCCGCCCGGTACAGGTTTTGCACCACCTGGACAAGGATTTTCGCAACCTTCACCACCCGCCTATCCTCCACCACCATACACACAACCTCCTCCGCCTGAACAAGGATATCCTCCTCCTCCTGAAGCTGTATACTATCAACCAAAACCAGTTGGTATTGTTGTAAGTATAATATTCGCTGTATAACTTTACAACGTGTCTCCACCGAGAGATAAGTAAGTTTAAAAGGGGAAGGAGCTAAAATTATTGGACGTGAAGTGATAATGAAAAATATGTTAAGATACCACAAACTAAACTGTCGAAGGCAGCAGCCACTGGAGGTCGTACAGTGTCATGTATAAGTGTTTACATCCTATGATGGATACTTGTTTCATTGGCAATCATGCCACATCTCCTTCTTTATAAGGTTTGTCAAGCTCCTGTGTAGAATTATAGGTAAAATAATCCATCCTGTCACAAGCCATTTAACATTAGGAACAGTAATGAACATCACAGATATTTAACAACAATTTAAAGGATTAAGAGGTCTCTTAGTTTTCAGTTTCACATACCTGTTGTGCAATAAACAGAAGGAAATGTGTTGTTCCGTTGTTGTTTTTGGTCTTTTTTTTATGTGTCTCCGTTTGTTTTGTTTTTTTGAGGGGTCGGTGTTGGTTGTATGTGAGGTCTGTTGTGTTTAGCATTATTGGTGATAACTGTTTACGTTTTATGCATTTTATGCATCAGTATACATGAGCAACGCTATAATCAAAAAGGGTATGTGAAAGGAAATGCCAAACATGTTTAACGGGTCAGATGAGTATATGTCGTAAGCTCTGTTTTCAGTATGATAGACTAGACAATAATTGGTTATGTTATATTATCATTTAAAGCCTGAGTATATTATAATGCCTATAAGAGTATAAATAAAATCAAATGCACCAAATCTAGCATATATTGTAGTATTGTCCATCTTAATCATGTTCAGCATTTCGGAAATCATATACTAATACTTAATATAGGATATTATAGGATTATGTAAAAATCATATTCATTAATATATATGATTATTTAGATTTGTTAAATAAGTCACAAAAAATTGTCAAAAAATTGAAAAGGGAAGTCAATCCCGTTGCAAATAAATAGTAGGTGGTTCGTAGTATCTTTTATAAAAAGCTTTCTTAAGTTAGGAAGCATTCATAGTGTGTCGTTGTAGTTGATAGATTATCCTTTCGGTATCTGCGTATATATCTTTTATTTGTCCGTCTCATACAGAACAGTTAATTGTCTATATACATAGGGTTATTACAAATGAAAGGCTTTTGTGCGGACATCTAGTCTTCCTTGGTATTTGTAAACTGAAAGCATTCTTTTTCGTTTTATAAAAACGAATTTTTATAATAATTCTGATAATTTCGCGACATATTAAATTACTTGCATTCAAATGTTTTATTGCCTCCATCAAATAATGTTTCAATTGGTCTCCTCTTTTAGGTTTTACCAGATAATTCTGGACGTGTGCAGAGAACACCTCCCCCAGACTGGACAGTTCCGGCTGTAATTGCATGCATCTTCTGCGCATGGCCATGCGGATTGATTGCAATATTGTCAAGTAGAAGTGTAAGTTACTGTTTGTTTTGATCATATATCGAGACATCGGCAGTTCTTAAAAATAAGCTAACAAACAATATGTTATCGTGCTATTTAAAATTATGACTTTTTACCCTTCTTAGGCTTCTTTTCCAGGGGCGGATTCAGGCGGGGGTGTGGCGGGCGTGCGCCCCCCTTAATTTTGCAAAGCATGGGTTGTCCTCAGCTTAATAAAGAATATTTCGATAATTTTACCTCAAAAAATTTAAGTTTGCGCCCCTCTAACCTTAAATCCTGGATCCGCCCCTGTTTTCGTTTTCATTGTTGTCTTTTTGATTCCGTGCCTTTATGATATTCCAACTTGTATCTCTATCATAAACAGATGAACCAGTTGGACAAAGGCAATTGCACTCTCGAAGGTGGGGGACCTATGCCTCCCCACCTCAACCCACTTTTTAGGCCAAAGTATATTAAAGAGAAAAATATACAACATATTGGGCTATACACAGGTTGGAGAATTATCTCTTTCGTGGGTTATAATATCCCGTTTGGTAAACAATTAAACTGTGCAAAGTTTTTTTATTCAATGGTAAATATTGCAAAGTGCTAATGATTACATAATAGGAAATAACTTTTGGTTAGCAACTTTTCTGAATACCGGATTGTTTATGAGTTTGATCATCCCTTGGAAGATGCTGATTTTCAGAGGGATCAATCTAGCAACTTCTTCATTTCGGGAAAAATCGCTGACCAAAAGTTGCTACCATTACCATAAGCTGAGACTATTATACTAATATATTATATCCCAGCCCTAAGTAAATGCGCTTTTCAATATTTTTGTTAAATTCAAAAATTCTGATTTTTGCACTTCAAAAGTATGACCCATGTGGGTGATTGTCCCCACCCTGATAAACAATTTTTGTCATTTTTTTCTCTCAGAATTACGAAAAAATTTCTAGCAGTAAAAAAGTTTTTAACGAACACAAAAATTTCTTGCATCACTATTTCGTGTGTCCTACATTTTTGTATCTATCCTCAATCGCTTTTGATATGTTACTTAACTGCATATTAATCTTCAATAGTGATCTTTGATCGTTGTTAAAGGCTGTGTACTATTGACCTTTAAATTTAGATGTATAGGTATTCACCATCTCATATGTTTTGTCTTCTCTTTTCTTCTTTATTCAAACAATATTCCATCAACATCCATTTTATTAAATTTTACCCCAAATTAAACAGGAAATAAATCTTTAGATGCCAAAGTGAAAAGTTGTCACATATTTATAGTAGTTATGCGTAGGCAGATATATTTGAAACTCTGAGCACACTCAATATCTAATTTCGTATATTTAATGTTATTATTATTATTTTGTAGGCTAAAAAGGCACACGAACAAGGAGATTACATCTCGGCACGTACGAGAGCTGATAATGCCAAAAAACTTATAATTTTCAGTGTTATTGTTGGGTTATTTTGCTATGTCTATATAATATACTCACAAGTTCGAAATGTCGCAATGTATGATTGACAAACACTTGTCTTTTTAAAGACGTAATTGAAAAAAACTGATCTTAGTTGAAATGAATGAAGGAAAATTGAATCATTTCTAAGAATATTTATCAAAATAATAAAATTTATGTTTGTGATCACTTCTTTTTATTTTAAATTATATTGAACCTATATCCTGAGGTTACCATGAGAGTGCGCAGATTATAAATGAGCTTCTTTACTGTATTGATAACACAATATTTCCCGTATAGTTACACTGTTAATATCGTGAAGCTATATACTGTATGTGTTGCAACTGGAGTTGCCATGGTGTCACAGAAGCAAGGATTCAAATCCAGCTGAAAGAAGGACAAAAAATAACTACCGTATAATTAGATATATAAAATTTAAAAAAAAAACACAATAATATGACTGCATGGTAGCATTATTGTTTTTTACGACACAAAATAGCTGATCAGTTATATGTTTTCCATCTACTAGCATGCCAACGCACATCCTGTTTTATGTTACAATATAAAAATAAGAGATGGTATGATTTCCAATGAGAGAACTCTCCATCAGAGAAGTAGACGTTAAAACAACTATAGATCAACCGGTACGGCCTTCAACAATGAGCAAAACCCATATCGCATAGAAAGCTATAAAATGCGCCGTATGACAAATGTAAAACTATTCAAACAAGAAAACTAACGGCCTGATTTATGTACAAAACAATAAACGAAAAACAAATATAATAAACAACAACAAACCACTGAATTTCAGGCTCCTGAATTGTTCAGGCACATACAGAATGTTGCGGAGTTTTCTGGTACTAACCCTAGATAAAGCCGACGAGGAATAAATCATTCGACTACAAATGATCATCGAGGGCGCTGGACACAGTGCAGACATAGTTTCATGGATATAACAGACGAATGTATTCGGATCCCGCTGAAGAAGGGCCACAAATCAATTACCGCTAATTTGCAAATCTTACATTGTTGGACTAAATTTCAAACAAAGTATATATAATGTGTTTTTAGCCAATTTATCCGATAGTTAATGTCTCATATTCAGAAGACGATATATGTATACATACATATATACTTCGTCTGCATTAAGCCCAACAATATAAGTTCTGCAAATTTATGGTCTTTCATGGCGATAATTGAACCCATGTTTATGTGACAGCGTGTCCTGTGCCTTAGACCACTCTGCACACTAGGCTATATGAAATGTAGCTTTCGATATAGAAATATACAATAGTAGATTAATCCAGTGGCGAATAATATACTTGCTTATTTATATCAATAACGAGCCTCCTCATGGGGTTTTTGATTATGTGATTACTTGGCTGTTTTCATAATGATTATTTGATTACCAGAGTAAATATTTTATGATTATTTGATAATCTAAGACTGTATTTTTGATTATTTGATTATCTTGTTTAAAAAAATAATTGATGATTATGTGATTATATTGCCAAAAACTGTGTGATTATCTGATTACTTGGACACCCCCATGAGGGCCTCAATAACATATTAATATCATATGAAATACCACGCTTTGTAATAGAGTCGGATCTAATGTGCGTACTTATAGTCTACAATAGAACATGGCATTCCTACCCGTACACATTATAATCTTTCTTGGCGGAGAAAACAGTACATACTAATTTTTGAAGTCTTTGGTTTGGCCTGGCTATTGATCGAATGCACTCACGACTTCAGTACTTGAGATGAGCACGCCTAATTAATGAAAGAAATAAAAATCATAAAATGAGACAGAGGGGTTATTCTAATTTTAGGAATACCACTGTTCAAAAACCACCAGCGTACTGGAGTGATAACCTGATCACTCAATGTAATGCTTTTGCTGTGAATAGTTATATGTATAAGTTTAGTTGACCATTTCTTATGTGCTTATCAGGATCGATTGATTTAGTGGTTGTCGTTGGTACGAGTCTGTCATATTTGTTTTTTTCGGTTGATGTTTTGTCATATATCAGGCCGTTGTTTTTCTCGTTTGTATGTTTCCATGTCAAGGCTTTTAAAGCACCATGTACGGTTTAGGTTTAGCTCAAACGGTGATCTATAGTTGCTTACATCCCCTTCAGTTGGACTTTGGTGGATAGTTTGTCTCATTTGGCAATCATACCACATATCCCTATTTTATATAATAGAACGTACAAGAAAAGCGCTTTACTCTCGAATAATGGTGTGACAGATCACAAAAACACACAATAATAAACAATGTAATACCGTTTTAAAGAATGCTCGCAGTTACTGAAAGCAAGCTCAAAGTACTGAACTTGCTGATAAAAAAAAATAATGTTTAGTATTGTCTCATATGTTACATCAGTAAGGGTATCAATCACAAGGACAATTTTGCACTTGTAAGCTTTATCGCAAAAGGCTGGGTGCGAAATACCAATTTTTATTATTTTCATGCAGGAATAATTATACTTTCACAATACTTACCTCTTTTTTTTGTGAAAAAAATGTAACAAAAAATATGTGATAAAATAAAGTAAACGCTTTGACTGGTTTATATCTGTATGTAATAGTTTTCAAGAAATGTATATGATATGTACATTAAAATCTGAGATGACACATCAGACATGCATATATAGAACCAACTGAGAAATGTACACCCTTTAAGAAGAAACCAACGGAACAGTGTCATGATCCGGCAAAGAATGGACAATTAACTATAGGAAAGGAAAAGTTGTCCCGTTTATTATATTTTTTTTGTATGAGTATCAACATCAGAAATTCTAACAAAAAGGAAATCAGTCGTTACTTATTTTCGATTTAGACAGATCAGGTGAATACATGTTATTCATTCATTTAGAATAATCTAAATAGTTTCCAGAAAATATATCATATAAAATATCTGCCGGAATTGCTGGAAGGCTATTATCAAATGGCGTTTTGTTTATTGTCTATTATGTTTTACCATAATTTGTGTTTCATAACAATAAAGGAATAATTCTGTCATAAGAGGGGCACAGTAAGTTCCCATTATCAATTACTTGGTGGTATACTTTACCTACAAAACGAACATAACTATTATCAAGGACAAAATAATGGCTTTAATAACCTCCATGCATGTTCAGTAAGTGTACTTTTTATAAGTTTTATTACAGTAAAAAAAAGAAGGTATAACGACTGCAACAGATATACATGTAGTTACAATCAGTCAAGTTTATCGAAATATTAAAGGGGAACATTTCTCTTTGATAAGACTGTGTGGTAGTGTAGTGTAAATAGTAGAGAAATCAAAACTGTCAACGGAGTTGAACAGCCCAATAAAGGATTGTAGTATATGTAATAACGTTGTATCTATCTGTAAAGTCGTGCGATCGCGTTGTGTGATCAACACGTACAATCCAATAACGTCACTATCTATGCAGTGTCCTTAACAACCAAACTTGGATTGCTCATGAAGAATCAAGGTATTTTTTTCATCAATACTACTTAGAAAACTTTGCTCCTAATTAAAACCACCCATTTTACTAAGCAATAATCAGAATCGGATAAAAGTTCCATACTTTTTTTCTATAATTTTTATATAAACCTTTTAACGCTTTGTCATTTTCCTTATTTTGTTATTGTGGAAATTTATCATATATATAAATACAATTTTGTAAATAGCAACGTAATTTCTTTTTCCTTTCTGTTTAATTGTTTGTAGAAGTAGCAAGTTTCTCTCTAAAAATGTAAAATTCACAATCTGAAAGAGGAGAATTTGAGCTTCCCCTGTGTGTTACTTTAATTGAACATCCAGAAACTATCAGTAACCAACTCGTAAGAAGAGTAGTTTAATATCAATTATAAAAAGGTGGACAATACCAAAGGAACATCTAGAAACAATAGAAACTTTCATCATATGTATATCTAAATACTTTCAGTGAGATCAAGAAATCTCTTCAGTTCTAAGAAATTCTTTGTCGGAATTTATCAATACAAAATAAATGAGTCAACTCATTTAATTTACATTCCAACTGGAATAACACACACATATATATATAATATTTAATTTTAATATTTAATTTTTATAGTTACTAGTAAGCCACTTATTTCTTCTTCTTATTTTAGAGCTTTACTATATTTGTTCAATTTTTATTGTCGGTATATATATTATATATAAATTACTATTTTATAAATGACAGACAACCTCATACTTTTTCACTGATAATGATCGGCATGCTCTTGATTGAAGAATGATAATTTTTCATTTAAAAAAACTATTTAGAGACTGTGTAGTACTTTTAAATTGATATTTATATTATTCCATGCCTAGCCATTTTAGTTTATTTAAATTTATTCTACACTTTACATCTCCAAAAGTTTTTGTTTAAGTACTTTATTGATGTTTGTGGGTCTGTATTTTGCGGGGAATTGCGTGCGTTAAGAATTTTTCATATGGCATGGGCCTTTACAAAAGGAGGTTCATAAGTTGGCCTTAAGATCATTGATTATTTAGTTAAGCCTCGATCTTCTTGTGTTATAGTCACTCCAGACCAAGGCATTGCCCGGCAAGCTGAGGAACTCTTCCCTCCTAGTCGAGGATTAGATAACCCTCCCACGCTTGGCAATGGAGTTTCTTTGGAGGAACAAAACCGAACACAAAATTGCCAGAGGTATCCAGCCCAATATGCTCCAACCAGATCGGCACAACATTCTTGGGTCGGTCCAAGATTTCCCCTGAGTCCATTGACGAACAAGAATCAGAATTTTAAGAGTTTTTCAGAACAAAACTATTCTCCTGCACAACCTTCTCAGACTGAAAGAGTTTCAGTTCGTCTTCGTCCATCCACTCCAGAATTCTCAGCGCAATATCCCCAACCTGACCTTAGGTTTCAGAATCAACAACCCCCGTCGTATGAGGAATCGATTAAGCACTATATTCCTAGGAGACAGAAAAATCCTCCGCGATGTTGCACTGTCTTTTATCAACCTCCAAGTCATCAGAAGGAAGGCTTTGATATATCAGATGGGTCTGTCGTAAGTATTAATATGTATAAGAAACGTCGAGAGCATTGACATAACCTGGCAGGGAGATTGAAAATTAACTGTTACGACACTGTTCTTATTGAACTGAGACTGGAGGTTCTTTTCCAATATAGCATCCTTGGTCATAAGGAGAAACTGGTTACGGAGAAACGAATATCATGAAGTGTTGTAGTAAAATTATAAATTGCCAAAGACAAAATTTTAATATAACAGACCAAACAAAAAGAATAAGACAAAAGTTTAATATAACATAAGTAAAACCACACAAGAACCGAGAACATTATTTCCAGAAAAGGCGAAACAAGTAAACAATGATATATCAAAACTTACTTATTCGAGTTACAAATTGGATATTTGCGTCTGTGATAAATCTCGAATTGCCTGTTCTACTCTTTTTAAGCATAACAAAAAAATAATTTTTAATGTGAATACAAGGGATTTGGGGCCAAATAGGTCAAAGAGACGGTAACACAGTGACACATAAAAGCAAAAATACAAAAAAGAAAAAGAAAAAAATATCAATGGAAATTAAAGCAGAGCAATTTATAAAACGGAGGATGTTTGTGTACCCCTTACTTTTGAACGGACCGAACTTTTCCAAAAGTCTATAGATATCTCAATAATGCATTATGGTTTTTAAATTTGGTTAAGGATACATTCTGGAGTAATATGTGTTCATAACGTACAAACAATTCCATCTAAGTTCTCTCGCATGTCATGATAGAATTGATAAAAAATGTGTTTTTCTTTTTTTATATTTCTGGCACAAAAATGTCCGGACAGTGACACTCTTGTCTTTGAAAAAAAACCCAAATAACTTTGCTTGGCACATTGCAATTTACTTACCATGGCTTGGACAAATGAATTGATTAAAATTCTCTTAATTCTCTTTCAAACTGAATCAAACACAAATATATTCACAATCATTATTCAGTATCATCGATCTATTCAAATTAAAGCTTTAGTCATATTATATGTATAAGTGTTTACTTCAATATTAAAAATGATAAAAAAAATATTCTTCTATTCTTTTGGGTGTTAATAATTGGTATCGTTTCCTTTTCATTTGTTAAAATTTTTACCAAAATACGTGAAATAGATAAGATAACATAATAAAATATTGTCTTGTTTTCATAGTTCAAGATCATTTTGGGGTTTGGCGGTGTTTTGCGGTGTTCGTTGGTGTGCGGTGGGGTTCGGCGGTGAAAAGACCTACCGGGAGATCAGTGCTATTCGCATTTTTCGACCCTTTAGAATTACATCCTGTTTTGTTGATTTTACAGGATGTAATTCTAAAGGGTCGAAAACCAACGAACACCGCAAAACACCGCCAAACCCCAAAATGATCTTAAACTATGAAAACAAGACAATATTTTATTATGTTATCTTATCTATTTCACGTATTTTGGTAAAAATTTTAACAAATGAAAAGGAAACGATACCAATTATTAACACCCAAAAGAATAGAAGAATATTTTTTTTATCATTTTTAATAATGAGGTAAACACTTATACATATAATTAATATGACTAAAGCTTTAATTTGAATAGATCGATGATACTGAATAATGATTGTGAATATATTTGTGTTTGATTCAGTTTGAAAGAGAATTAAGAGAATTTTAATCAATTCATTTGTTTTTTCTAGCAGTATTTGATATGTTCATAATTAGATCAATTAAGTCTTACAAACTTGTAATAAAGTATCTATTTATAATGAAAAGAGAAGATGGGAACACAAGAAACGGAAATGTAAAATAAATCATAATAGCCAGTTTGCTTTGTTAACAATGTCTCAAAAGAAGTCATATCATAGTTTTTGTTTTGTTAACGATGTATCAACTTTCTATAAAACAATTGAAAAGTGAAACCATACAGTATTGGAATCACAGACATTTCCTGTAAAGGTTATTGGACAACATTTTATTTCCGATGAAAATAATTGGACAATATTTATTTACAATTGATATTATTGGTCAAATTTACGATTGGTTCTAAAATCTGAAGAGATTTACAAAAAGGTAAATATTGACAGAACAAGAAATTTATGGAAAAATTCTCAAAAAAAATATCTAAAAGTCTATAACTGAAATCATAACCCCTAAACGCAAAATTGTTTGGCCCTGTGGGGACTCCAGACAGAATTGTTCCAAGAATTCAGTATAGGGTACTCATAGTACTATTATGACTGTCAGCAATTAATTATCATTAAATATTTGATTTTCGGGCAACGGATCTTCAATGATTCAACTAATCGACAAAACTTCCACTGTTACTGACTGATGACGGAATCGCGTTCTTGTACCTGTTGTACAGTTTTGTTTACCATTTAAGATTAATGTCTTTCCAGATATTTACAGACCAGTCTGGATTTATTAGTCCACCAGTAGATTGGACAATTCCAGCAATAATTTCCCTTGTTTTCTGTCCATGCATTGGATTATTAGCTGTATCAGCAAGTAAACATGTAAGTTATTTAAGTTATTACTTAAAAAAAAAAGTACGATATAACAAACATACTCTCGGATCTGTACTTAGTGTCTTTTTGATGTTTGGATGTACAAGCACCCGGCCACGTCCACTTGTATTTGTAGTATTTGTATTTTTATCCATCTGATGAGTTAAGCCTCTTTCAACTGATTTTTATAGTTCGTTCTTATGTTGTACTGTTATACCACTGTCCCAGGTTAGGGGGAGGGTTGGGATCCCGCTAACATGTTTAACCCCGCCACATTCTGTATGTATGTGCCTGTCCCAAGTCAGGAGCCTGTAATTCAGTGGTTGTCGTTTGTTTATGTGTTACATATTTGTTTTTCGTTCATTTTTTGTACATAAATTAGGCCGTTAGTTTTCTCGTTTGAATTGTTTTACATTGTCATTTCGGTGCCTTTTATAGCTGACTGTGCGGTATGGGCTTTGCTCATTGTTGAAGGCCGTACGGTGACCTATAGTTGTTAATTTCTGTGTCATTTGGTCTCTTGTGGAGAGTTGTCTCATTGGCAATTATACCACATCTTTTTTATATAAATGATCGATGATATTATATTTTGATTATTAGTATAATAGTCCCAGGTACAATCGGGTGTATAGGTGTACAACCTGGGACTATTATAGTCCCAGGTACAACCCAATCAAACTAGTTAACCGAAGGTGGACACAGATATATGTAAGTCAGTCTTTAAAGATCGACATACACTATGTAAATGGCAATCTCGAAATCGCCTGAATCTAAATAAATTGTGAACGAATAAATCTGCAATCAACAAGTTTTCTGTATAGATATTAACAAAACCGTAAAAAAAACAAGTGAAAATATGACAAAAATTAACAAAAGTATATACTATAGCTATTGGTCGAAAATTAAATAAAATTGTGTACAACATAGTTAATGACATCCATCATATCTGTCTATATCATGATGAAAGGAATATAAGACTAAATCACACATTTGTATATTCCTAATACATTTATTATCTTTTTTTGCAGTCTAGAAAGGCTGTTGAAGAGAGGGAATTTGATATTGCTCACCAAAAAGCCAAAAGTGCCAGAAATCTAGTTTGTATTGCTGTTCTTTTAGGACTATTGAGCTGGGGATATTTGATATGTTATGCTTATTTCTGGAGATACACTTACAGGGATTAAAATAATATCAAATAATGTTGTGTAATTATTATTGTCATTCACCATATTGCCTGAAATGGCGAAATACGACCATGGATCTCAATTTTTTGGGACCCCTTAATATCAGCTCCCTATCACATATGTGATATCTTTTGTCAGAGCACTTAATTTGTTTTTATAATAAGAAAAGAAATGATATAGGGATATCCATCACTGACACAAAATCAGTGCACAGCAAAAAACCTCCATCCATGACACAAAATCAGTGCACAGCAAAAAACCTCCATCCATGACACAAAATCAGTGCACAGCTAAAAACACAAAATGCAAAGGAACAGTGCTTTTTCAATATAGCTGTTCTTCATCTGTCTGCTTTTGAAGTCTGTTTTGGAATAAGGTAATTATTTGTGTCTGCATTTGCTTGTTTCTTGGCTGTAGAATGTCTGCTTTATCTACACATTTGTTTTTCCCCAGGTCTGGTTTTGAGCTATGTGTGAAATTACTCCTTGATCAAGTTTTTTAATCCTTAAAAAGTTTTTGCTTCTTTGAATGTACTTGTACTTTGTATAATAGATAAATGGGTTATATCCACTTATATGTTAGTGTTCCTTTGTTTGTATATTCTCCTATTGCTTGCATGTCCACTCCTTATTTATGCCATTGTATACTTATATCCGATCATTTGTGAATTTTTCAATTGTTTAATTGTGATTCTTAATGGTATTTCAGTTCAGAAAATCATACATTCTATGTAAAACTATGATCCCAAGGAAAATAAACTTGCAAAGACATTATCAAATCTGTATTCAGGTTTAAAGGAAGTTGCCAAAAATATATAATCATTTGCAGAATTCTGATTACTACATTTATTGATAAAATCATATCAAAAATGCAGCTAGCATCACTTAGGAATCATTCAATATTTGTGTACTTTTTTTATTCTTGTATTAACTGATAAATTTTGTACTTTTAATGCTAGTTTTTTATAGCGACCACTTTGAAATTCAAATTTGCATAAATTTAATGGAGCACCTTCAAGAAAAGACCTTTGGTCTGTGAAAGTTGTTTCTGGAAAAATATTCACAGAAATCATGCATAGAGTTAAGTTTAGAACTATGTTCGTGTTTGTGGAAGTTTTTGTAAGATATATCAGATATAGTTCAAAAAGATGGCATAATGCCAACTGAAGATAGTTCACATTATAAAACAGATTCCTAACTTTAGTGGTTTATGACAAAAAGATCCTTGAAAAAGCATATAGTAGTCATTGAATGCCATAATGAACCAAAATCCATCAGATTTGTTATTCAATACACTGTATATGTACTTTTTTTTCGCAATTTTGGTATTGTTGATGAATTGGCATGTATTTAATTTCGCTGTATTTCTAAAAATATCAGAACATAAATAACGGACTTATAATTGTAAATATTTTCCTTAATTAGGTCTTTATTTGTTTAACAATATGAAACAAAATTAACAGATTATTCAATCATCAAATCAGTCGTCTGTCATATTTGGCGTGGGCTATTATTTTTCCCCTTTTGTCCTTTTATTCTTAATTGAATTTCTGTCAAGATAATTTGTGTTGTTTTAACAGTTTAATGGTTCAGTTGAGGTTATCTAGGACAACAAGGTGAACGTGCATGTACAGTAACAAATTCCAGTAATATTTATTCAATGGTTTTTATATTTTTCTCTGCATGGAATCTGGCTTTGTATTCACGTGTATTTATTTTCACGAAAGTATTATACCTACTGCAAAATTTGTGAAAATTACATCGCGAAAATAAGTACATATACAGTATCCAACATTCCCATCAAGTAATGTGTTAATTGGACCAATTTGTTCTCATAAGAAATTCATTTTGATTCCACTGATAGAGGCAAACAGGAAGTAGAATAAACAAAAGCAACTGGTACAGATATCAGAAGGCAGCACACAAGACAGATGATGATGATGATGAATGGCAGCTAAACGTCCAGAGGCTAATTAAATACATATTCAGGATGAGAACATATTTATGCAATATGAATATGAACTCTGATTTGTACTTGACCGACACGCTGACCCAGATTTTTAACGCGTTAGTTCACAAGGTAACAGTCCACAGGAAGACATATCACCCTACCCGTACACATTATTCTGACTCAGAGACCACCAGTCTTTGCTCTTACACCTAATGCTGTATGCTTAGCAAAACATCAGCAAAAATAAGTTTTAAAAGTCTTTGGTTCGACCCAGCTGGGATTCACACAGAACAGACATCAAAAGTGTACAGACAAAAAGGAACAAATGTACATCAAAAGAGACAACTTAAAACAAGATATTTCAACTATATAAACCTGGTCCAACAAAACTGGTAGTGTCATCAGTGCGACAGAACAGTTAGGAAAATACTAGTGTAACTTACTCCTCCCTTCTGCAACAGAGGGTTAAAAAAAAGTCTTGCCCCAGAAAGCATATGGTGAACTTTCACACTATATGAACTTAAATAAACAAACTGTATAATTCTTTTTATTTTTTATTTTTCTAGTTTAACTATAACATAGTTTATATCAACATTTTAAATAACATTTGAGTACTCCTAGCTTTAATTTACTCCAAATTGGATAAAAATATGACGGATTCCTAATTAAATGATTGTAAAATATATATAAAAAAATCTGAAAAAAAAACCAACATGGGAATGAAAATCGCAATACAAATAATTTTAACTGCAGTCTGCACACCTCATAAATCTAAAATTGCATGGACATACAAAGTAAAGTACAGAATTAATGCAAAACAGCAGAATTATTGTATATCATAACACTGGAATGATTTTATGGGAAAAAAACAAAAATGATTGAAAATCAAATGAATGAAACACTGCAATGATTTCAGATGTATAACATGTAAAACACTGAAAGGAGATTTGGATTCTTAAGTAAAACACTGCAGTGATTCCAGATCTAGATTTTTAAATAAAGCATAATAAAGACTTCTGATCTAGATTCTGAAATAAAACACTGCAGTGATTACAGATTTGGAATCTGCAGTGATTCCAGAGCTAGATTTTTAAATAAAGCATTATAACGACTTCTTACCTCGATTCGGAAAATAAAATACTGCAGTGATTCTAGATAAAGATCCTAAACTGACAAAAAAAAAAATGAATCCAACTGATGTGCTAAATGCAATTAATCAATTAAAAATACAGACTGGATAATTTTTCAAAGATAAAATGTTTTTAAGTTGTCAATAATTAAAGGGTATAAAGATTTAGAATAGAAACAAAGTAAAATATTAAATGGTCTATAAAAAGTTGTAAGCAAGAAGGTCCAGGTTATGCCGCTGCTTAATTGATTAATAGAAATGAGATAACAAAATTTGTTCCAATCCATTACCATTTTAAAACACTCAGTACCTCAGTACCTGTAATTTACCATCTTTGCTTAACAGAAATTTTACCCTTTTTAATCTATTAATATGACTAGTTAGTGTGTATTTATGAAAAATATGATATATGACAGGTCAATATTCTTTTTCATAATGGAGATTTTTCAAATGTAGGTAAAAAAGGTAACAGAGGCCATTTAAGCTAATATCTTTCAAAGAAGATAAAACAGGGACAGTAAAGTTACATTTGATCACAACAAACAGCTTGCTTACCATTTCACCATATTTATGTTTATCACAACTAAAAAACATTTATTAAGGACGGAAGCATGTAAAAATTACATCAATTCATACCATGTATTCAACCTATTAAGTGCCATCCATTAGTAGTAACTGGAAAGAGAAGGCACTCACTGAAATCATCAAACAAAATTCTATGCGCTGTCTTTCAATGTTTCATTGTGCAACTGACTGATAAATCAATTGCTTTTTTTATTTCATGATAAAATGCAGGGATATACTCTCAAGTAAGGGAAAATATAGGTTATGAGCACCTAATGGGTTGAATATGGTTAAATAACAGGTATCATTTATCATCAATACATATGTACATATATCACAGTCTAAAATATGCAAAAACCCATCATTCATTTCTGTACAAACATATTATTACAGACATTTTTGTTGAAAAAAAACTCTTCTTAGAGACTCAACCCCCACCTCTGACCAAAAGAAGGGATACTTTGTTTTTTAAATCAGTCCTGTACCAAAATGTAACACGTAGCAATTTAAATGCAGTACCTTCTCAACTAAAACATTGAATTTCAATTATTGTGTCATGAGTTTTCCATTTTATGAAAATTAAAAAAAAAAAAATTGCTATGCAAAAAGCACAATAATTTTAAAATCAAGCACTTATTTGATAATTATTACTGGATGATCTTTTAACATGACGTGTCAATGAAACAATGAGTTGACTTAGGTCATAAAAAAGCTAATAGGTTGTTCTTCAGACTTTTTTACAAAACAACTCAGATTTCCCACTTTTTTTTTTAAATATGTATCAAAATTTGGAACTTTCATGCAAAAAAACTAAATGCCCACTGCATAAAAAGCTCCAAAAATTAGTAAAAACTATATCTCCTCAATGTTGTGAATCATTTGTTTTGTAGGAAAGTATCTGAAGAACAATAAATTGATTTGGTAGGCCTTTTTTCTTGTATATACCACTTCAGTCATTTCTATAATCCAGACTCCAGAGAAATAAGATTAATTATTACCTATGACTAGATTAATATATATGATTTTTTTAAATTATTCTCCTCTGTCTGAAAATGTACAATAAATACAAAAAATATAAATAATATATTACAGAGATTAAAATTATATACAATTGTTATATACAAGTATTTAAAAACTGGACAAATAACATTTTTGCTGCCCTAATTTTCTTCTGTTTGAAATCTTGCTCATTATTAATTTTCAATTTACATTTTTCTAATCAGCCATGGTAATATACAAAGCATGCACTAAGATATTCTACTAAAACTATTTTCCTTCTGGGCAATCTTGCTAAAGCAATAAAATTTGTGTCCGCTATGTGTCATGGCTTTTATATAGCTACTGACTCAAAACAGTA